CCCCCACAGGCACTGCCAGGTGTGCCCCCTCCTTTCCCCAACTGGAACATCATCAGTTCACAGACACCCATTCGCAGTTTCCACCCTGGAAAGAGATATTTCTGTTCCTGTCATTTATCAGCTTTTCATGGCCAGTGCTAGAGACACATGAATGATATAAGATTCCCAAGAAATACCCAGGTCACATCTGTCACACTGGCCATTGGTTATACCTCACCGTATGCATGAAGGGCCATCGCATAACATGCATAGCCAGTTTCGCATGTAGTGGGAGACATGATTGGCTTAAAGGCTGCATCTCTCTCCCGTATGTGCCCGAGGGCAGCTCCCAAGGGCAGTTTGTACCGCTGTGTCCTCTGTTCCTCTCACTTGCTGGGTGCCCTCCATCAAAATCAGTTGACACAGTTTAGCAATTTGTAGGTAATGCTCCCACGCCAACGCTGAGCACCAACTCGGTGCCAAGCTCTGTGCCGAGTGCTGTATGTGCACAGCCTCCGAATTCTCACCTCCGTCCTGGGTCTGCTCCTCTGTGGGATCCATTTTCAAGGACGAGAGACCTGCGGCACAGAGAGGTTCAGTAACAGCGGAGCTAGGAAGAGGCAAGGCTCAGATTCAAACACAGGTCCGTAGTGTCCTGGACAAAATACCTAAGTTCTCTAGACCTGTGGGTAAGAGGTGGCAGTAGGGGCTTGGTGGGTTTTAGCCCACTTATGATCTCTTCCTCTCTCCTAAGTTTTGATGTGAACAATTGAGATGTTCTCAAGGGTATGTAATGTAACTTCATAACAAGTCCTCAGTTTTACCTTCTAACCACATTGCCCCTATAGAAAATGCTAGAGCCACCCCGCCCTACAGTGTGTTTGTAACTCACCACTGGGTAAGCCATGAGCACGCACGCACACACACAGAGACATACACACACACAGAGACATACACGCACACTTTACACACGTGTACAGTCCAAGTTAGAAAACTCCCTTCCCTTCCGGTGCCCAACAGCCTGTTTTGTGCTCCCCGGAGGCTCCATACTCCCTCCAGCCTCGCAGAGATGTATCGTGCACTGGGTGTCCTCTTCCTCTGGGATCCAGTGGGTACGGTTCCACTGGTCTCCTGTCCTGTGACCTACACCCAATCCATGCCACTTGAGTAGGTCAAGAGAGGCACCCGGGGGCAGCCAGAGGGTGGGCTCCCTGGACGCCGGGGGAGGTGTTTCAGATGCTACCTCTGCGAGGGTTATTGGGCAGGGCTGTCTTGGTTTAGGCTCCCCTCAAAACCAGTCTCTGGGAAGAATGTGATAATGAGTACGTAACTGGGGCTCAGTCTTTCTGGGGACCCTCTGAGAGAGTAGGTAGGACACACCTCAGAATTGTCCCACTGAGGGTCAAGGAAGCTGGGGTATTTATCCACCAGGCCCCGTCCCTCTTGGGTCGAAGGTTGATTTGGGGGTTGTTAACTCTCCAGTGCTTCCAGCCTACCCTTCTGGGAGCAGAGACGCTTCCAAAGCCCTCAGGCAGAGCCACTCAAGTGGTTGAAGTGGTTAATGTTGGAGGCCCTCAGGCCTCCATTGAGTAGAAACTACCCTCCAAAGCCGTAGATGCCTCTGGATGGACAGGGCACCAACAGTGCCTGCTACAAGGCCTGGAGCAGGAAGGACATCAGCTCCCCAGTGTTCCAGTCGTGGGTCCCCCCAGAGCTCTCAGCCCTTCTTCCTCCCTGCCCTCCGCTTCTGGGAACTCTCCTGTGGGAGCTGCAATCATTCCTTTTACGTAACCACAGCTGGTATTCCCAGCCCTCCTGGGAAGGCCATCTTTGCATCTCCCCTATAGCCTTCCTACTGTAAGTGAATTCCGGCTGCCCTTCGTGACGCTGGCCCCTCTTTCTTCTACTCTCAGGTACATGTGCTCCTCCGTGCTGCAGAGAGCACTGGCCGCCCCCCTCGTCTGGATCCTCCTGGCCCTCCTTGACGGGAAGTGCTTTGTGTGTGCTTTCAGCAGCTCTGTTGACCCCGAGAAGTTTCTGGACTTTGCCAACATGACCCCCAGCCAGGTGCAGCTCTTCTTGGCCAAGGTGCCCTGCAAGGAGGATGAGCTGGTCAGGGATAGTCCTGCTCGAAAGGCAGTGTCTCGCTACCTGCGGTGCCTGTCCCAGGTAATTCAAAAGGTCCTCCTCTAACCTTTGCAAACATCCTGCATGGGTTCCAAGGGGTGAGAAAATACACATGACTTCCTTAGGCTCCTCCCACTGCTAGAGACACAACCAAGGAGCATGTGGTCCCTGGAGAGACCCGGAGCATTATCCATGTACAGGACAGTGTTGGGCCTTAGGAAGTGGGCACCTGGCCATCAGTGCTGACTCACGCCGGGGCAGAGACCAAGTGCCCACATCCTCTGGGAGTCAGCTCAGCCCATCCTCAAGAGTCTGGATGGCAAGAAAGTACTGGAGATATACTGCTCTGCCCAATCCTCCACACCATACACATATTCTTCCCACCTCTCAGAAATAATACGAATTACCCTTTATTGAGCTCCTATGTATCAGGCACTGTGTTAAGCATTTCATATGCATTACTTCACTTAATTCTTGGAATAACTCTATGAGGTGAATGCAGTCATTATCATCCCATTCTGCATATGAGGAGACTGAGGCTCCAAGAGTTTAGTTCACAAGGTCAAAGTCACACAGCTTGTAAAAGGCCAGGCAGAGATCTGAATACACGTCATAACTCCTGACCCTCTTAACCACCTCCCTACAATGCAGGTTCTGCCTAGATAGATGCCCAGCTCCCCACAGGGTGCCAACTCCACTATCCTGGGGGCAAAACTCAGCCCCACTTCCAGCCCAGACCCGAGATTCCACTACCACCACTTCCAGAGCCCCAGGCTGAGCTGTGCCTCTCAAAAAATATTTACATGAACCCACACATGCAGAGTATCACTGTGGCTATAGAGAATGAAAACATGGCCCCGGCCCTTTGGGGAGCCAAGACAGGCCCATAGTGCAGTGAAGAGAGGACCAGTGGTCAGGCCAGACTTAATTCTGCTTCAGACCCTGACCTTGGCCACATCACTCCCTCTCTAGGCCTCAGTTTCTCCTGCAAAATAAAGGGAGTTTTGGTCTCTTCCACCCTGGTGGTCCCAACAGACTTAAACACTCTAGGCTCTCACTAGTTCAGTGGGAAGAGTGTAGAAATTTCAGTGAGACCAGAGTTTGAGTCCTGACTCAGCTATAAGTTTATCAGGCACATTTAATGCTCCTCACATATAAAATACTCGCACGGGTATTTTAAATTGGTGGTGGTGGTGGTGGTGACTCTGTGAGAGGCCAAATGAGAGATAGTAAATCACATTTACACATGATAAGAATTCATGTATGACTTTGTTTAGAGGAATTAATTCTCTGCTCCAGGTCCACACAGTTGCTCTGGTCTTAAGCAAGGCCTTGAAGAGACTATAGCTTTGCATGGGCGGAGAGGAGAAAGAGGAATCGGCCAAGTGTGGGCTCTAGACTTAGAGAACTATTTTCAGTGTTTCCTCACTCTTGGCCTGGAACACTGTTTCCTATTCATACCCTGTACAGCTGTTACTTATCCTTCAGGTCTCAACCTAAACCTCGCTGTTCCCTGAGCCCTCAAGCTCAGGTCGGGTGGATTCCCATGACTCCCTGTACATCCCTCAACACGGCACTCAGCCAGTCATCACCTATTTAATTATTTCCTCCACCAACGTGTGAGAGAAAAGACTGGGTGCCCAGTGCATGCCCCAAAATATAGGATAAATGGATGCATAGATGGGATGGATAAAAATATGTGAGGATGACTAGATAAAAAAATGAAAGAAAGATGGACGGATAGATGGGAGTGTGGGGAAGGCAAAACTTTACCTCTGCCCATCTTAGGATTTCAGCTGAGATGCTTACAAAAAGATTAACAAGAGGAAAACAGTTTATTAATGCATGCAGTGCACATCATGTAGGAGAAACCTAAACCAAAGAGCAACTCGAAGCAGCAGCTTAGAATTCCTGCTTGTATGGAACATTCAACAAAGAGCAATACTTTTATAGAGAAATGGCAGGACAAAGGAAAGCAGTTTTAGGTTTCCAAGAGCAGAAACTATGGGAAGGTAAATACACGGGAGGAAACATGGCGTTTCTTACTCCCTACTAATAGAGTAAGGTTTGTTTGCACATTCCTCTGGTGCTGTCTCTGCGCTGATAAGAGTCTGTCTCCAGTAAAAGAAGAATTTACACCCTGCTTTTAGGCAGAAAAGGAAAGGGTAAAGAGAGGTTTTCCTGTTTGCTGCCTCATAATTGTCTTCAGCTCAAAATAATTTTATGTCAAAGAGGCATACTTTGGGGTGGCATACTTAGGAGAAAGGTTGGGAAAATGAATGCTGAGTGCATGGATGGTTGGCTAGATCAACAGAAAGAAAGACGGGAGTATATGAACATGAATGGATGAGAGGATAGCTGGGGTAGGAGGATGGGCGATGGACAGATGGAAGGATGGAAGGATGGTTGAGAGGATGGCTGGATAGGAAGATGATAGATATCTAGTCAGATGAGAGAATGGATGACTGGATGGATGGATGGACGGATGGAATGGAGAGCTGGTTAGACAGACGAGTGGATGCAAGGATGAGAGAATGAATGAAAAGGAATCCGATGGATGGAGGTGGTTGGTGGATGGAGGACTAAAAGGAAAGATGAATAGATCTGAGGAAGGATGGGAGAGATAAGTAAAGAGAGAGACTGGAATACCTTTGACACACGGTACACCACCCATGCCCTACTCACACCCATCCTCGTGCTTCCCTCCTCTCCCCGCCAGGCCATTGGCTGGAGCATCACCCTGCTGCTGATTGTCGTAGCCTTCCTGGCCCGCTGCCTGAGACCTTGCTTCGACCAGACAGTCTTCCTGCAGCGCAGATACTGGAGCAATTACGTGGACCTGGAGCAGAAGCTCTTCGACGAGACGTGCTGTGAGCACGCGCGGGACTTCGCGCACCGCTGCGTGCTGCACTTCTTCGCCAGCATGCAGAACGAGATGCGGGCACGGGGACTGCAACGGGACATGGGCAGGGGTGCCGAGCCCCCAGAGCTTAATGAGCTCCCGAGCTTAGACACCGGAAGCGGGAAGGCCCACCTTCGCGCAGTCTCCAGCAGAGAGCAGGTGGACCATCTCCTGAGTACCTGGTACTCTAGCAAACCGCCACTAGACCTCACCGCATCCCCCGGGCTCTGGGGGGGTGGCCTCAACCACCGCGCCCCCACTCTGGACCCTAGCACCAGGCTGTCCCAACAAAATGACGT